CCCCCCTTCCCCCAATTCATTAATGCACTTCAACAACAAAACCAGCCTGCCAAAAAAGGAGACATTAACTCCAGCTCTGTAACAACCCCAAATTTTCATCTAGAATTCCCCCCTTTATTTGTACAACCTCTCAATGGGGGCACACAAAAAGACACAACTCAAGGAGAACCATCGCAAATCTCTTATAAAGGGGCTCTAGGAAACAGACCCCTGATCTCGGAAAGGAACAATATCAAGCGCTTACACCGGCCATATGAAGTTATCAATGGAAAACCCATTGTCATTTTCACTCAAGAAGAAAATGAGATCTTAGCTCAGACGTGTAAATGAATGATTGTCGGTAAGTTTCTTAGAATTCAACCTTCCATTGATATTATCCGAAGTGAATTCGCCAAAATATTTTCAGGAAAAGGAACTATTAAAATTGGTGCTTACGACCTAAAAAATGTGTTTATTGACTTCAACAACCTGAAGATCATTTGAATGTTAGCTCCAAAAAAATTATAATGATCGGTCCAGATACAGTGATGACTTTTGAGAAATGGACTACTAAATTTAAGCCAGATAGAGAATTCTTACATGCTCCTATTTGGATTACTTTACTAGATCTCCCCTAGTATTTCTATGAATAGGATGTCATTTGCCGAATTGTCGAGCCTAGTGGTACCCCGCTCACTATAGATAAGGCTACTATAACTAAATCCAGACCTACCACTGCCAAAATTTGCATTGAAATGGATCTCTCCAGAGCTATACTAAGTGAAATTGATGTTGAAATCAGAAACGCAAAAGGGGATATGGAAGTATTTAGTCAGAAAGTAGAATATGAATCAATTCCTTCATATTGTTCCCATTGCAAAATTAAGGGCCACTATAATTCTGCTTGTTGAGTGCTACATCCTGAGCTAAGAAATGAAGGAAGGAAAAGTGAGCTATTTGCAAATAATAGAGAGCAAATTAATTGTACCTACAACAATAAAGCTAGGGAAAAGAGAAATAACAGCGAGTTCAACCAAGGAAAGACAGGAGTCACAATCTTCCTTAAGAAAACCATGATCAGACAAGAGGCGAATGCTGAAGTTTAACAGGAAGAAGGATCCAAAGACGAGGGATGGAAACATGTACCAAAGAAAAAAGGGGAATAACAACACCAACAAAAACATTGACAAAAGTATACAAGACCAAGCCAAAGGGAACAGAACTAATGCAGCCAATGACAAAGGAGCAAATCCGCCTCCTAAGCATATAATTCCCAAGAACTCCGTGGTAATCTCTCACAATTCTACTGGTCAAATAGAAAATATGGATATCGTAGGACCATCCAATGCCTACAAACTTTAGCACCATATCATTGATGTTACAAAGTACACCAGAATGGACAAAGAAGCAGAGGTGAAGCAAAGAAAACAAAACACCACACCCAAAAGATCAAGACCAATGGCAACAATCCAAGACAGGATATTCTAGCTCTCAAAGTTTGATGAAGATCACCCACACCTGGACCTCTCTCTATTACAAGTTCAAGAAGGTAAAAATTCCAAAGTAATCAGGAAGGCAAGGAAATTTTCCTCCAAAGTCTTCATTCGTGAGAATATCTCACTTGAAAATGAAAACTCACTAGTTCAGCAACTGTGCACTCAAATCACTCCTATATTTGGTTTAAAACCCATGCTAATAGATAAATCACATGGTAATAGGGCCAAGGAAAAAGAACACGAATTTGGTGCTAATATAGAACCAACACCAAATATTAATGTATCAATACCTGTTAACTAGGGTGATGGTGCTGACTTTGAAGATACTGCCTACAAAAATTATGAAGCAGATATAGTGATGGACAATTCCTCAGAAGACTATGACTCCTCTAAGTCTGATGATAAATTTGTTAAAAACATCGGGAATTCTTCTAAGAGAAATCAGTGGAATGTACTCCTACATAAATATAACAAAATATTACTTACTTCAACAACCTATCCCCAAGAGGTGGATCCATGCCTTATACTAGGAAATTTGTGCCTCCACCCATGGAAGAACAAATTTTTACTCCTCTGGAACAAAACCAATCCTCTAATGTTTCTAATAATTAGCACACGTTCATGGAATATTAGAGGGATAGTGTCTCAAGGTGCTGCTGAAAGACTCTGTTTTCTTAAGAATGAATACAAAATTCCTTATATGTTTCTTCAAGAACCTATGGTGGGAGCTAGGAAAATTGACAAATTTAAAAGGAAGCTAGGTTATCATTCATGCTTCCACAACTATTCCAACAAGATATGGATCTTCTAATCTTCTGAGTTCACATTTGATATTGTGGAAGATAAGGAACAACATGTACTTGTCCACGTTACTCAATCTCAGAGTCTAATCACGTTATATATGTCTATTGTCTTGCTAAATGTGATGAACAAAGAAGATGTACTCTCTGAGATGAACTCAAGAACATTGCCAATCGAGTCAATAGACCATGGGGATTAGTATGTGATTTCAATGTGATCACCAATGTTGAAGAAAAGATAAGTAGAAGGCCTTACAGATTAGAAAAAGGCTTTGACTTCATCTCCTGCCTAACTGATTGCAATCTTCAGGATGTAGGTTTTTTTGGCTCCATGTATACATGGTGTGATAATAAGGACCCTCCTAACACTATATGGAAAAGGCTTGATAGGTTGTCATATAACTCTGAATGGTTTGATAGCTTTGGAAGGAACTCTATTACTCACTTGTCTAGATCATGCTCAGACCATGCCCCCTCTACTTATCACTTGCAAAGCTAATAATGTTGATTTCACAAGATACTTCAAATTTCTTAATATTTGGGCTGAGCATAAAGACTTTCTGGATGTGGTATAACATGCATGGGATATCAATGTGATAGGAAATTCCTTATATACTCTACATCAGAAAATCAAGAACACTTGCAACTATCTCAGTTCATGGTCAAGAGAGGCATTTAGGGATATCTATGAGTAACCTAAGAAATTGAAAATCCTCATTATAAGCCTTGAAGAAGCTTTCTTGACCAACAACTCTCCTACTAACAGAATGAATCTTTCTAAGGCCATAGTTGATTTTACTCGGTATCTTAAGCTTCAGGATAATATTTTGAGGCAAAAAGCCGGAGTCAAATAGTTGAAAGAGGTGGATGTCAATACTGCTTTCTTTCATAGTATCATTAAGAACATGAGAAAAAGATTAATTATCTAGATTAAGTACATGGAAGGCAACTGGGTTGAAGGAAGCAAAATTGCAGATACAGCTCTCAATTATTTTGATCACTTATTTTATAGTGACAACATTATTAAGGATAGTAATATCCTAAGTGTAATAAAAAAGTTGTTACCAATGAAGACAATGATGATCTTACTATCATTCCTAATCTGGCAAATTGAAAGACGATGTGTTCTCTATTGACCCTGATTGCTCCCTTGGTCCATATGGTTTGTCATGTAAATTTTATCAATCATGTTTGTTTATTATTCATGAAGATCTCCTGGAAATTGTGATTTCCTTCTTTCAGGAGCTACATTGCCTAAATTCTTCACTCACACATGTATCATTATGCTTCCTAAAGTGGAGGCTCCCCAAAGCTTCTCTAATATCAGGCCAATCAGACTATCCAATGTTTCTAGCAAAATTATTGCTAAAATTTTCAATGCAAGATTAAGCAAAATATTGCCCAAGATCATCACTCAAAACCAAAGTGGCTTTGTTAAAAGAAGAGCCATAACTAAAAATATTCTACTAGCATAGGAGCTTATCAATGATGTTGGCAAGCCAAGGAAAGGAGCTAATATGGTCATCAAACTGGATATGGATAAAGCCTATGACAGAGTCTCTTGACCTTTCCTATGTTTCATGCTGAGTAAATTAGGATTTGCAAAAGTATGGATTGAACTAATCCATAGATTCATTTATAACAATTGGTATTCCATCATTAAGAATGGTGGAAGACATGGCTTCTTCAAATCAGGAAGAGGCCTCAAACAGGAAGACCCTCTATCCCCTTCTTTATTTATACTTTGTGCAGAATTACTTTCCTAGATGCTTAATAATATACACACCAAAAGTACTTATAATATTACTATATTATAAGTACGCATACTATACTTTCATTTGGTTGCTATTCTTTGTTAGATCATAAAAGCAGATCAAGTTTGAAGAATTNTATATATTCAATATGCATATCATCGTATATAATTATGTATATCAAATAGAAAAAATAAAAAATAAATCTAGCCGACTATTTATGTAAATATGCCTTCAAGTTTTTGCATCAGCTACTCTAACATTTAGCCCACAATTTTCCTTTAGCTTAGTTGGAAATGGTTTAAGCCTTTTAAAGTCCTTACTAGATATTCATTTCGTTTGCTTACTTTAAAACCTTTTTTTACTCAATATGCTTTTCACCTTACTTTATAATTTTAACAATAGAAAATAGTATTGTTCGGTATAAACATCGAATGCGGATAAGTTTTTACTTGTGAAGACATGTGTGATGTATTTATTGGTTTGATCTAAATATCGAGTACAGATAAAAAAAAAAAAATTATCTGTAAAGACATCTCACATATTTATTAATTTGATCTGAATATTGAATTCGGGTAAGTTTTCACCATAAAACTAAGTAAAAGATATTTGACATTACTTGAAACAAAGAGACATTTAAAGAAAATCAATGATCAGGTCAGAATGTTTGGCAGTGAGGACAAGTGTTGCATCTACAGGACGTGAATTTAAATTTATTTGAGAAACCCTTATCTACCCTACAATTTGGTAATGCATGCTTTCATTATTAATTTTTTCTGTATATACTAACCTAGCTTAAGGCTAAAGCCGCAAACTACAATCCTGTGAGAGCCATCTATTTGACTAACATCCTCCCTTTTTATCTCCCCCATATCTTCATATTAAAGCTGGGAATGGTTGACTTTCGAATTAAAATAATAGCGCATAATGGCAGTACTCCTTCCCATTTCTTCTTTTATAATCTTATCTACTTAAAATGCTTACCTGCAAGTGAGGAAAAGGTACCCACGGGACCAAACAAAAGGACATTAAAAGGTCTTCAATTAAAATATATATAAACATAGTTACACGGTGTATTTTTCAGACAAAAGGGTGTCGGTTGACACCTCATGTGGCTCTGCCACTGCAACCATATATAGATGTCACAAATCAAATGTAGGTAGAATCAACATAGAAAGAGCACAACTAGACTAAATGGATAGCTGGTTGGTCATTATCATCACTCTATGTATCTCTTTCTGCCTCATATTTCTCTTTAATATTTTCTTCTCCAATTCCAAAAGCAAGAAGAAACTCCCACCTGGACCCTTTACTTTTCCAATAATTGGAAGCTTACCATTGCTGAGAAATAAAACCTTAGCTGATATTGAACTTATGCTTCAGAAATTAAAGTCAAAATATGGTCCTATAATTACACTCAGAATAGGTACTTCGTTTTCCATATTCATTAGCAGTCATTCTTTAGCCTACCAAGCTTTAATTCAACAAGGTGCTCTTTGCTCCGACCGTCCAATTGCTTTACCGACTAATTATGTTTTAAGCAGCCATGACCGAACCATAAACACCGCCTCATGTGGCCCCACATGGCGGCTCCTCCGTCGAAACCTTAGATTGGAAATGCTCCATCCCTCTCTTGTCAAGTCCCAGTCCAAGCCCCGAGCGTGGGCGCTAAGTGTCCTCATTCATTGGCTACTTGATAAATCTAATTCGACTACAGAAGTGATGGTACTTGATCATATTAAGCATGCCATCTATTCTCTTCTTGTTTTCATGTGCTTCGGAGACAAGCTGGACGAGGCTCAAATCAAGCAGATCACAAATTTACAACATCAAGCACTTTTAGCTACGATCCAATTTAAAATACTTAATATTTTTCCCAGAGTTGGAAAAATAATTTTCAGAAATTGCTGGAAAGAGCTAATTACTTTACGAAAAGAGATAGATAGCATGTTCATATTGTTAGGCGTTTGCCATAATTTTCTTGTCATATTTGGTTTTCCTATTTGTTGAAGTAAAGGGCAATATAATTACCTTAATTGGGTTTTCCTTTTTGTAGAAGGAAATTATAATTCTCCTATACTTGGCTAGTCATTTTTCTTGTAGGAAAATGTTTTGACTTCTATAAATTGAGGATCTTTCCTTCTCATTCAGCAGCATTTACAATGTAGCCATATGGGGCTTGAGAGTAGTGTTTAGGGGAAGAACTTTACGGGACAAGTGTTAGTGTGTCACTTGTGTTTGCCTCTTCGTGAGGTTATTCTCTCGATATTTTATACTCTCTTTTTATATAGTGGATTGTTCATCTCCGCGGTCGACGTAGGTCAGTTGACCGAACCACGTTAAATGTTTGTGTCTCGTTTGGTATATTTTTCCTTTGTTGTATGATTTATCGTCGTTCAAGGTTTACTTTGCTAGCTTCCGTATGACACCTGATATTTTACGATCCTAACACATACCTCTAATACAAGCTCGAGTAAAATACATAGAAGAAAAAGGTAAAGCTGGATTTCATCAAAAAGAAGAGCAGATGGTAGTTTATGTGGATACGCTGCTAAATTTAGAATTACCAGAGGAAAAGAGGAAGCTCATTTATGAAGAGATAGTCGGTCTATGCGGTGAGTTCCTTGGTGCAGCCAGCGATACAACGTCCACCTCCTTGTACGTCTTACCCCTACCCCGAGGGGTAGAGAGGCTGTTTCTTGTAGACTCTCGGCTTAAGAAGACGAAAAGAGAGACAATATACTAGTACTAAAATAATAAAAATAATGACGGCAACGTAAGACCAGAGAATAAATGAAAAGCACTAAACAACAACCAGAAGAACCCTGACTGGCAAAATAAAAAATCCCTATTAATTTTGTTCTAAAGTAGTTCAGAATTGACAATATGTGTTAATTGAGTAAGCATCATGCTAATACAAGGAGAATTTTAGTTTCTATAAATTTCATGTCATTACGCAAAAACAGAAAAATTAACCAAATGAACACAAAGATAGCCATTTTGTTATTCGACCACAAGTTGCAGTGCAGTTATTTCATTGTTCAATCCGAAGATCAGCACTTATCTAGGACTGATGCGAGCTCTCAGTGGATTCAAATTTTTCAGTTAGATCAACGTCGTCTCTATCCATAGGTTTCCATTCGAAATGCCAAATCAAATTAGCTGCAAATGGAGCAGGCGAAACCATAGCCTGGACATGTTCTCCTCCCAACACCAAATGGCATCATCTTAATCTCTCTGCTCCCTATTATATTCAAACTACTCTTCACTATCTCCATTCACAAAAAATCTCTCTGGCTTAAATTAAATACCATTGGATCATCCCATACATTTGGGTCCAAACCCATTTCTCCCACCAAGAAATTAATAGTGGCATTTTTGTGAATTGAAGGGTATGGTGGCCAATGATAATAGTGGCTATCTCTTCATAATCCAGCTTCCTCTTTTCTTCTGGTAATTCCAAATTTCACCAGCGTATCAATATAAGTGATCGCCTCATCAGCCTTAACCCTTTCTTCTAATTTGTATTTTATTCGATCTTGGATCAAAGAGATAAAGACCCCATTGAACTCTTTTCGTAGATCACTTAGCTCTTTCCATAGATTTCTCAATATTATTTTTCCTAATCTTGGGAAAATCTCAAGTATTTCGAATCTATGATAACCAATTACAAGTGTTCGATGTTGTACGTGTTCAGTTTCCCTAATTTGACCCTCATCAAGCTTTACCCTGAAGCACATCACGACAAGAAGACAAAGATGGCATACTTAAAATGATCAAGTAATTAACATCACTTCAGTGGCAGAATCAGAATGAGTTAGAAGGAGCCTTTGAACGAGGATATATGTATGAAAAATGATATTTTCTTTAATAAATTAAACTTTTATATTAGGCGGTCATAAGATTTAACATGGTATGATAGTAGGGTTCAAATCTTCTCGCCATCCTAACAAATTAAAATTGTGCTAGCTCTCTCTGTAATAGCTTAAATTTTTAGATAATATGATCACAGAATTAAACCATACCTAGTGCCACGCACGGTTGTTGGAGTGGGACCTGATACGAGAAGGATGGAACATTTGTGAGAGGAGGTTTCGACGAAGGAGCCGCCATGTGGGGCCATAAGAGGCGGAGCTGATAGTCCTTTGGTTGCAGTTCAATATTTTGGTGGTCGTCGTAGCGATTAGCCTATCGGAGCAAATGGCACCTTGTTGAACTATAACATGGTTGGCTAATGAATTCCTGCTAATGAATATTAATGGAGAAGACCCCATTTTTATGGAGATTATAGGACCGAATTTGTGTTTTATGTCTCGAACAATGACTTCGATATCGTGTGCAGTTTTTCCCAGCCATGGTAAGATCTCACTTGAACGGGAGCATTGGCATAACCGGTAAAGTTATTGTCAATTGACCAGGAGGTCACGGGTTCGAACAGTAGAAACAATCTCTAGCAGCAGTGGTGAAGCCAGTAATTTTCTCAAGGGTCTTCAAACTTGAAATAAGTAAAAAAATAATTCGACAAATGGTGTTCAACACATGTTATGTACCTCTAAAATCTAATGTTTTACCTATATAAGCAGTGTAATTTTCCGACAAAGGGTGGTCAGTTGACCACCCTAACCCAAGTGTGCCTTCGCCCCTGTCTAACAGGATGCAAGGTAAGATTGCGTACAATAGGCCCTTATGATCCGGTCCTTCCCCGAATTTTGCGCATAGCAAAAATTTAGTGCATCGGGCTACTTTTTTTTTTCTTAATGGTAAAATCCCAATTATTGGGAAGATGAAGGGACCGGGTGGAAGTTTTTTGTTTTTATGGAACAAAATATTAAAGACAAATATGAGGAAGAATGAGATATAGAAAGTGAAAATAATGACGAACCAACTTTCCATTAAGTAATGTGCCTTGCTCAGATTGTCTTCAATATTCTGCACTACAATTATGTACATGCAGTCAGATGCAAGAAGAGAGAGAGAGAGATGTGTTCCTTAGTGTGGGAAATGGGGATGAAAGGACGATAATTAATGGCTTGAACAATGGTTGGGTACAGTGATGAGTAATCTTTTATTATTAACCAATAATTGTAGCGGTGCTATTCCTTATTAGTCGGGTGAGTATGGAGTCCCTTTTATTAGGGAGCGTTTTAGTGAAATGTTTCGGTGCTATTCCTTATTAGTCGGGCGAGTATGGAATCCCTTTTGTTAGGAGCGTTTTAGTGAAATATTTCGGTGCTATTCCTTATTAGTCGGATGAGTATGGAGTCCCCTTTGTTGGGGAGCGCTTTAGTAAAATGTTTCGGTGCTATTCCTTATTAGTCGGGGCGAATATGGAATCTCCTTTGTTGGGGAGCGCTTTAGTGAAATGTTTCGGTGCTATTCCTTATTAGTCCGGCGAGTATGGAATCTCTTTTGTTGGGGAGCGCTTTAGTGAAATGTTCCGGTGTTTTTCCTTATTAGTCGGGCGAGCATGAAGTCTCTTTTTTTGGAGGATGCTTTACCCTCAATGAAAGAATTTCCGATGAGATTACATTTAATCGGGGCTCAATGTGAGTACGGACATGAAGCGAAAAACAAAAATAATCAATAGCTTGAAGAAACGACCATCAAGGGGTGTGGTAATGAGATGTCTTTTTCAAGTTGGAAGAGCGCTACCTCTTTAAATGAATATATATCCTACATAAGACACGCAAATATGAATTAATCAAGTTAGTCGATTTATTAAGAAAAAAAACCTTGAAGTTAGGAAGAGTAGATTTTGTGTGAATACCGAGTGAGTAGTGACCAAATGTATCACATGACACTCCTTAGAAATATTTATTCTGAATAATATGTTGAGGTATCTAGGGTGAAACTAAATTTACAAGTGATAACTGAAAAATAGCCACAATTTTAAAAGTAATCGAAATTAGCCACTTTTTATGTAAAGATAAATCTGAAAGAAAATACTGTTCAAAATCTGAAAAATATTCCAGCTAGGGGTGTACATAGGTCGAGTTGGTTTTAATTTTACAATTATCAAACCAAACCAATTGTGTCGGGTTATTAAATCTAAAGACCAAACCAATAAAACTCGAGTTTTTCAATCTCGGGTTTTTTCGGGTTTTCGGGTTTTTTCCCGATAAAATCTTCGTAGAACAAAATATATAACTTGTGCTCAAAATATTTCTTTAATTCTAGTAAGATACAACTATATAAAGTATTTTTCAAGTAAATAATATAAAATATGAGATGTTTCATGGCATTATCCTAAAATATTCAACAATAAAGACAATAAAATTATGTGACATAAATATTGCTAATTAAAAATCCATAATAAAAATAATCATAATCTAAAAGTACTAAGTCATGCTAAAGTAAGTAGACTAATATGGGAGTATTAATTACATAACTAAACGCTAAAGAAAAGATAAAAATAGGTTATACATTTTTATCTAAATTATTGCAAAATAAAAAATAGATATTTAATACATTCTCGTTCGTAATATTGACTATTGAATTGAATGTCTTTTGTTATCATTAGTATTGATTTGATTTTGGTTTGGGCTTTTGCTAGCGTTATTTAATTTACTAATATTAATGGTTATAAAACTTATTGGCGAGGAGCGCGACCGGCGCTCAACCGAGTAAACCCAATTGAGCAAGTCTGCTAGATTTCATTCTACCCAAAGTCATCCTTGAATAAAGAGGAGATATACTCCATTATTTCAAACTTTGAAAATAATTAATTAACAACTTCGTTCACAATATTGAAGATATTACAAGTTTTATACCTTATTTCCAAACATCAAAATTTCCAATTTAAACCCAATACCTGACACTACCCAAAACCTGTCTATGGAGCCTCTAAATACAACTGAAGAATAATATGGAAATGCCGGCAACAAGGCTCCGGCTATACCTTACACAAATACCAAAATAAGACTCCGGGAAGAAAAGCGGCATGAGCCACGCAGGGCCCCGAGAGGAAAGGGGCTCACCAATACAGCTGAATTATCGAAAGTTCTAAGTCCAACCTTAAAATAATACCTTAAAAGATAAATTTATGAAATTTTTTAAGAAATATTTATAAATTACATCACAATAAATATATTTATATATTAAATATATCTAAAATTTCTACATATATAATGTTGGGTTGGTTTGGTTTCGGTTTGACTTTCTTTAGTTAAAACCAAACCAAACCAAACCAATTATGGTCGGGTTTTTTTCTCCAACATCAAACCAAATCAAAGCAAACCGTAGTCGGATTTTTTTTCTCGGTTTGACTCGGATTATCGGGTTGGTGCGGTTTGTTGGTTTCCTTTGTACACCTCTAATTCCAGCCTAATATACTGGAGTTCCAGTCAAGCATAATATGCTGGAGTTCAGGCACAGGTGCACCAATCTCTAGTATATTATGTTGGAACTTTCCGTGTTGCAGCAAAATAGTGGTTATTTTTCAATAACTTTGCAAACGCCGGCTATTTTTCAATTATCGGTCCAAAAACTAGCTAGTCCGTGCTATTTTTACGGTATCTTGTTGTACTTTAATCACTAACTGAAACATCATTAACTAATATAGTATCTTTTGGTGCAATTAAAAAAAAGAGATAATGACAGCTGTAGTCTTGGATCGATTGAAATACTGTCACACTTCATTTAATCGCACTCCATGCTGAATCGTTTCACTTTCTTTATACTTTAATAGTGAAATAATTTACAAGGAATTCAGGCATCGTATAAGGGACATGATTTCGTAACATGCTCTTTATCTTTTGATCTCCCCCATACCTTCGTATCAAAGCAGGGAATGATTGACTTTCGGATTAAAATAATAGCGTATAATAGCATAATCCTTCCCATTTCTTCTTTTATAATCTTATCTACATGACATGCATGCTTACCTATAAGTGCGGAGAAGATACTCAAGGGACCAAACGAAAGGGCACTGAAAGGTCTTCAATTAAAACTTGGCTCTGCCACTGCAACTATATATAGATGTTGCAAATCAAAATGTAGGTAGAATCAACATAGAAAGGGCACAACTAGACTAAATGGATAGCTGGTTGGTCATTATCATCACTCTATGTATCTCTTTCTGCCTCATATTTCTCTTTAATATTTTCTTCTCCAATTCCAAAAGCAAGAAGAAACTCCCACCTGGACCCTTTACTTTTCCAATAATTGGAAGCTTACCATTGCTGAGAAATAAAACCTTAGCTGATATTGAACTTATGCTTCAGAAATTAAAGTCAAAATATGGTCCTATAATTACACTCAGAATAGGTACTTCGTTTTCCATATTCATTAGCAGTCATTCTTTAGCCTACCAAGCTTTAATTCAACAAGGTGCTCTTTGCTCCGACCGTCCAATTGCTTTACCGACTAATCATGTTTTAAGCAGCCATGACCGAACCATAAACACCGCCTCATGTGGCCCCACGTGGCGGCTCCTCCGTCGAAACCTCAGATTGGAAATGCTCCATCCCTCTCTTGTTAAGTCCCAGTCCAAACCCCGAGCTTGGGCGCTAAGTGTCCTCATTCATAGGCTACTTGAAAAATCTAATTGTGCTGCGGAAGTGATGGTACTTGATCATATTAAGCATGCCATCTATTCTCTTCTTGTTTTCATGTCCTTCGGGGACAAGCTGGACGAGGCTCAAATCAAGCAGATCACAGATTTACAACATCGAGCACTTTTAGCTACGATCCAATTTAAAATACTTAACATTTTTCCAAGAATTGGAAAAATAATTTTTAGAAATCGTTGGAAAGAGCTAACTGCATTACGAAAAGAGGTAGATAGCATGCTCATACCTCTAATACAAGCTCGAGTAAAATACATAGAAGAAAAAGCTAAGGATGGAGTTCATAAAAAAGAAGAGCAGAAGGTAGCTTATGTGGATACATTGCTAAATTTAGAATTGCCAGAGGAAAAGAGGAAGCTCACTTATGAAGAGATGGTCAGTCTCTGCGGTGAGTTCCTTGGTGCAGCCAGCGATACAATGTCCACCTCCTTGCAATGGATTATGGCCTATTTGGTCAAGTACCCTTCCATTCAAGAAAAGCTATATAAAGAAATATGTAAAATTGTAGGAGCACTAGAATCAACGGGAGAAAATAACAATAAGTTGATAAAAGAGGAGAATTTACAGAAAATGTCATATTTAAAAGCAGTGATATTAGAAGGTCTTAGGAGGCACCCGCCATCTCACTTTTTGCTGCCACATAGGGTGGGAGAGGAAATGGAACTGAGCGGCTACGTCATACCAAAGAATTCTATAATCTATTTCATGGTCAGAGAAATGGGTTTAGACCCAAAGGTGTGGGAAGATCCAATGAAATTTAAGCCGGAGAGATTCTTGAATACTGATAGAAATGGCGAACCGCTTGATATTACAAGAAGTAGAGAGATCAAGATGATGCCATTCGGTGTGGGGAGGAGAATATGTCCGGGCTATGATTTTGCTCTGCTCCACTTGGAGTACTTTGTGGCTAATCTAGTTTGGCATTTCGAATGGAAGCCTGTGGAGGGACACGACGTTGATTTAACTGAGGAGTTAGATTTCACCTTTACCATGAAGAATCCACTACGAGCTTGCATTAGTCCCAGGCTGAACTGATTGTTTGCTATATAAGTAATTATATATGTTTATCTTTTCTTTTGAAACTTGATTGGCAACATTATAACAAAGTCAGTAATAGTTGAATGTCTTGTTGTATCACCTATGTATATTTTCCTATAAATCACACTGTACTAAAGTCATATATATTGACTTCAACTATATAGAAATTCTTATCTGTCATTTTGTGGCTAGCAGTGTAAAAAATCCCTATTAATTTTGTGCTAAAGTAGTTCAGAATTGACAATATCTGTTATTTGAGTAAGCATCATGCTGATACAAGGAGAATTTAGTTTTTATAAATTTCATGACATTCCGGAAAAACAGAACAATTAACCAAATCAAAGCAAAGATAGCCATTTTGTCATTGAACCACAAGTTGCAGTATAGTTATTTCATTGTTCAATCCAAAGATTTGCACTTATCTAGGACAGATGCGAGCTCTCAGTGGATTCTTCATCGTAACAGTGAAATCTAATTTTTCATTTAGATCGACGTCGTCTCCATCCAGAAGTTTCCATTCGAAATGCCAACTCAAATTAGCTACAAATTACTGCACATATTCTCCTCCCAACACCAAATGGCATCATCAAACTACTCTTCACTATCTCCATCCACCAAAAATCTCTTTGGCTTAAATTTCATGGGATTATTGGGTCCAAACCCATTTCTCCCACCAAGAAATTAATTGTAGTATTTTATAGCCGTTAAATTCAACTTCTTCCGTCACTCTATGTGGCAAAAGAAATTGGACTTAGCTCTTTCCATAGATTTCTAAATATTATTTTGCCTAATCTTGGGAAAATCTCAAGTATTTTGAATCGACGATAACCAATAAGTGTTCGATGTTGTACATGTTTAATTTCTCTAATTTGACCCTCATCAATTTTTACCCCGAAGCACATCAGGACAACAAGACAGAAGATGGCATACCTAAAATGAACAAGTAACATAACTTCAGTGGCAGAATCAGAATGAGCTAGAAGGAGCATTTGAATGAGGATATCTGTAGAAATATAATAAAATTAAGTAATTAAAATTATATTTTCTCTAGCTAACAAATTTATAACCTCTTATATAAGATCGAGAGGGGTCACAAGATTAAGTAACATGGTATAATAGCAGGGTTCAAATCTTATCGTCATCCTAACTAATTAAAATTGTGCTAGCTCTCTGTAACACCATAAACTTTTAGATGATATGATCGCACAATTAAACAGTTACCTAGTACCCCAGGGCCGGTTGTTGGAATCGACGAAGAAGCTGCCATGTGGAGCCATAGTCCATTGCTTGCAGTTCAATAATGGCTGCTAATGAATATTAAAGAGAAATATGAGATACAGAAAGTGAAAATAATGAACAACCAACTTTCCATTATTAGAGTAAGTAATGTGAGTTGCTCAAATGTCTTCAATATTCTGCACCATATATATTGTACGACTATTATGTACATGGAGAGAAAAATATTTGTTGGGTATTGTGGGAATGAAAAAAGTAAGACTAGGATGTACATGGAGGGGATTGGATTTCCTGACATGCTCTTTATCGTTTTACTTTAAATTTAATTTACATACAAAAATAGTATAAATAATTTTATACTATCAATGTGATTTTATCGAGTATAAAATACATATTTTCTGTGAGAACTAGTTATTTGTAATTAGCCTTTCTAGTGATTTAAATAGTGTAAAAAAGACAAAGATCTCGCATTCACACAAGGTTCGAAAAAGGGTCGCACCCCAAGAAGTATGATATAAACAACCCACCCTAATGCAAGCATTAGTGACCAATTTCCCGACTTGAACCACCATTGAATAGAATTTGAACTCTCTGCTTTGGATTTCTTATACAAACTTACTGTGTAATCTTTCCACCATCTGTATGGTTTTACCAAATATGAGAACACAAATCGCTTACATCATTTATGTAGTTGCCAATCTGAGCTTGCTATCAACAATTACCAGTTTATTTGGCTTTTAAATAACTTGCTATCTAGAAGTTAAACCCTTTATCAAGTGTAACAAGTTCACCAACCTTACTAACAAAAATTACATGCAACCCTGATAATATAAAAATTACATGCAACGTCAGTATATAAAAGTTAAAACTCATTCACTTTTCCTCTCAGTGATTTTCTTTAACACCTCATGCAACAATAACAACAAACCCAATAAAATCCTACAAGTGAAATATGAGGAGAGTAATGTATACGCAGATCTTACCCTTACCTTTTGAAGGTAGAAAGGTGGTTTCAGATAAACCCTCGACAAAAGGAAGCAATAAAACAAACAATAAAATCAGCAAGGCAAGATGATAAGAAAATCAAAGACAAAAGAAACTCTCAAACACCTATGTGCATCAACAGTAACTAATCCAGCCATATACTCCGAAGTACTTGAGAACCAAATTGGTAAGCATTTATACAGGCAGAAAATGAAGCAGAAATCATAAATCATCTCTACTCTATATATACAAAATGTTACATTATATTCCTTTGCAATTCTTTCCCGGCTTTCTATAGCTTCCATGTAAGAAAAATATACAGCAGAAAAGAGGGTAGTTTCGATAGGGAAAAATGAAGACTACAGCACACAGAACACAACCCCAAAAGAAAAGAATACAGAAGATTGATGTAACCTCCACCTGATCAAAGCTATGGCTACTCATTCCACTCTATAATTAACAAATCAATATACCAACATCGGGAGACGGAGCATAATCCTGATCTACCGAACCCTGCCTCCAAAAAGAATATGGTTCTAGTCCTGACATCCTACCCTCCTGGGCTAAGAAAATGCTACAAACGCCCATCGTCAATACCAATTTGAATAATGCATCAGTCTAATTACCTCCGAAATTTCACTGCACAAAGGTGATAATGGCAAACAATGTTATTAGAAATCCTCGTCATTCTTTCTTGGTTTGATCTTTCCAAGTTGAAGCAGAGCATCTTACACAAGGATTTGGAGATTGGACTCTGCTACTACTCCCAGCTTCATGGAAGATGGATAGTATCTTCAGTCGCATCATTTAAACAAGTCTATGCTGTCGCAATCCCTTCCCAAAGTGAGGTTGCATCAGGCGGACATACAAACCATTTTTTGCCATCAACGTATCATGGGTACCTTCCTCAACAATCTTCCCTCCATTAAGTACAACTATGTTGTCAACATGCCTCATCATGGCAGCTCGGTGGGCAATTAAAATGGTTGTCTTGTTCCCCATGATCAGAGTATCAAGAGCCTCCTGTATCACTCGACTAGACTCAGATTCAATGGAGGAGCTGGCTTCATCCAACAATAGAATAGGTGCATTCTTCAAAACAACACGAGCTATTGCAATTCTTTGCTTCTGTCCAGGAGTCAGATCTACCCCCCTCATCCCAACATGTGTGTCATAACCATGAGGCAAACTGCTTATGAAATGATGAGCATTTGCTATTCTAGCTGCTTCTTTCATCTCAGCTTCACTAGCATTGTGCCTTGCGTAGATTATATTTTCCCTAATGGTGGTTGAGAAGATAATTGGCTCCTGCTGAACAAGACCTAAATGGTTCCTCAACCATCTCAAGTTGTATGACTTTAAATCGCGGCCATCAAGTAAAACCTGACCAGCTACAGGGTCATAAAACCTCTCTATCAGAGATATAATCGTGCTCTTTCCCGAGCCAGAAACACCTACCACGGCTACAGTTTGCCCTCCGTTGACTTTGAGAGTGAAATTGCTCAATACCAGGACTTCTGGACGAGATGGATATGAGAAGTCAACGTTTTTCAACTCAATGCTTCCGTAGACATTTGGAGGTTTTAAGGCTGAATTGTCATCTGGATCAATCTTTGGTGCTCTATCGATTATCTCGAACACTGATTTCAGAGATTTTCTTCTTTTGAGAATATATGGAGCCAAGCCAAAAGGCTCAACAAGTGCGAAAGTTGCAAAGGAGAACACCATGTACTCCTTGAGTGCTGTAGTTACATTCACGTGGTTATTCTTTACAGAGAGTGCAGTATACCATAATAGAAGAGCATTGCAACCAAAAAGAAGAAACTGCGAAAAGCCAAAACCAAAACCAATTGCCACACCATGGAGGAAGCTTTTCTTAAATATCTTCTGCAGTTGAAACCTGTAGAGCTCCATTACCTTATTACCAGCACAGAATGCTACAACTGTATAGATATTTCTAACTGCATCCTCGAGGACTAACGATGCCTTCCTATGCATCTCCTGAATACCCTTTGACAACCCAGCAAGCCACAATTTCTGCATATTAAGTTCAGATCCATATGAGAGGCCGGATAAGCAAGGACTATGAGTATTGATTAGTGCTTAAACACTAGAACACGAAAAGATGATAAATCGAAAAATTGAATGCCATTAACTAGATTCTGCTTTTTCAACTAGCTTTTTGCAGGATCGGAATTTTATAATACCATTTTTATTGTTTTTATGGAGATAGGAAAGAAGATGACAAAGGGACAATCTGGTTTCTCCAAAATAGATTAGTCGCATCCCCGCGAGTAGTGTCACAGATCCAGGGAAGTCAATCAGGATGTTTTAAGATAAGATTGCTATAAAAATATGAAATATGATGTTTTCTGCTTTGTACGAGTAAGTGACTAAGTTGTGACACTCTACATCCGAAACAAACCTGCGCAACAGCAGACACAGTAAGAACAGGAAGAGTAGCTAATGCCACAAGTGCCAACCGCCACTGAAGTAGCATCCCAATAAGAACAGCCACAATAACAGCTGCAGTATCTTGTATGAATATGGACAGCCGATTGCTGAAAGCAGCACGGACAAATGTAGCATCATTTGCCAAGCGCATAGATAGATTATCAGCACTATTCTCCTCCTCATCAAACCACCCAACTTCATTGCGAAGCATTGCTGTTGAAGAATGAGAACAGCAGAAAAAAGCATCAGCATTCATGAGACCACTAATTATGATCACTATCAGAACATGTACTTGCACTTAATTTTTATCAAGTAATAAAACTTATAGAACATGTATTTAAGTGGCAAAGGGTGGTGGATTTGTGTCTTAGGTCACAGGTTCAAGCCCCCACACCATGCAAAGCAAAGCCTGGTATTTAAGTGGAGAAGGGTAGAGGGGTGGGCCCATTATCCACAGAGTTTCGAAGGCTGCGATTGGTCCAAAGGATCGGCCCCAGATGGATTTCTCGGTCATCAAAAAAAAAATTATAGAACATGTATTTACACTGTGCAAAAGAAACAAAACAGACTAGGAAAGGAACAGTTACTAATTGAAATCACTCCTTACCAGAAAACATCATTCTACGAACTCGCTCAGTCATTTTCTCTCCCATTATACCAAAATAGAAGTGCTGCAGAAAATTGGCAAAAACAGTCACTACACCCATACAGGCTATGATGAGGCACCACCTGTCAACATCTCGACGCAAGTGATGCCTTTCGTCTGTTCTGTAATACGCTGTTACAATCAGTGAAATGACGTAGGCCAGAAGGGGATTAAAGGAACCAAATATTGCAGCACCCGTGCTCCCTAGTAGAGCATAAAGCCATTCTGCAAGGCTAAGCTCAACAAGTCTCCAGAAGGATGGCGGTTCTCGACTCTCTGTATCCTTTGCTTCTTTGGATGTAATAGGAAAGTCATCAAATTCACTGTTTGGACGACTAAAGGTTTGTGAGTGAGAACGCTCATTTTTGGGATCAGATGTCAACAGTGGTGACACAGGTGATTCGGGATCAGAATTGTTGGACATTTTCCTATTTGCAGATTGAACATCAATCTTAGGAAGCTTGGGCAGTCTCATTTCAAAGCTATCCTGCCTTCTTATTGATGGTTCTTTGTCAGCAGAATCCAAGGCCATACCATTCTCAACCATTTGCTCCGGTGGCGGGCTACGGTTGTGGGGAGATTCTTGAGAG